TTCTCTTATTGTCTACACTTGGCCACTTGTGTCCTTCTGTGTGCATTACCTTCTGTTGCATGAGGAAGCTTCACTGATGAGAACTGAGATATCCCTATCCCCTGTTCTTCTATGTTCTGTTAACCTTAGATTAAGATGTATTATATGAAGTGCTCAGAAATGTAATAAATCTATACATAAAAAAGAATTAAGTTCATGGATAAATAGGTGGGTTCATAGAAAAGAGTCTCCTACATTGGTTCTGTCTGCTATTCACAAGATGTCTGAAGAAGACAGGGAAATACCAAGCCTGTTAACTGTTTGTTGACCTCGCATATGGACTTCCTAAGTGACCTAACAGGAAGGTCAAAGACTGTCTTAATTCAGGACTCCCACGGGGGATTTGCCCTGATTCAGCAAGTTCAGTGTAGAAAGCTCACCAAGGTCCCAGAACTTCCTCATATTTGATCTTCCTGGCCAAGGCAGACATTCTTCTTCACTTCAGTGACAATATACATTTTCTTCATGAGAGAATCTTTTCTCTAACACAGTATGATACAGTGCTTAATACTGGTAAAAGGTCTTGAATGTGTAAATTACCAAGAGGGAATCAATCCTAAGTGCTATCCCCAGAGCAATTATATGTATTGATGGTGAGAACAGGGGTTTATTGAATCTTTGTTTCTTCACAAGAAGCAGTGGGATATGGTGGCTCTAACACAGTATGATACAGTGCTTAATACTGGTAAAAGGTCTTGAATGTGTAAATTACCAAGAGGGAATCAATCCTAAGTGCTATCCCCAGAGCAATTATATGTATTGATGGTGAGAACAGGGGTTTATTGAATCTTTGTTTCTTCACAAGAAGCAGTGGAATATGGTGGTTTGAATGAGCAATTTCCCATAGGTAATATGTTTGAACCCTACTTCCCTGGTTGGTAGTGCTGATGGGGGTTTACGGAACTTTTAGAACATGGGACCTTGCTTGGAGAACCGTGTCACTAGGGTGGGCTTTTTATACCCTGGCCCCTCTTCCAGTAATTTTCTTATCTCTCTGCGTGAGGTAATGTGATCACCCAGGCTTCTGCTCTAGCTACTTGTTGCCATGCCTCCCTTGCCACTGTGGACATCTTTCTGGAACTGTAAGCCAAAATAAACATTTCCATAAGTAATTTGGGGGCATGGTATTTTATCGCAACCTCAATAAGTAACTAATGCATGTGTTAATGTGAAAGAAGATTCAGAGCTATGGAGGGGAAGATGGAGCAGGAGCTCTGGGACGGCATCTCACC